TATCATGTCAATATGGACCAAAATCTCTGAGGAATGTTTCCAACACCTTGTTCAATCTATGCCACGGAGAATTAAGGCAAAATGGGGTCCAACCCGGTACTAGCCAGGTGTACTTCATAAAGTGTCCTCTGTGTGTGTGTGTGTGTGTGTGTGTGTGTGTGTGTGTGTGTGTGTATATATATATATATATATATATATTTTTTTTTTTTTTTGTGTGCATATTTTAAAACGTATTTTTATGAAATGTTCTGCTTAAAGTGATTGCGCCATGTTTCTTTAAAATAAATGTCACCTGGTTTGCTATTTTTAATAAATGTATGTAATGCAATTACATTCATATAGAACATTTTTAAGCGTCCAGTTTTTGGGCCCACGTCTGCCTTTCTTAAGAAACTGAGCTAATAAAGAATGTCCTTGTCTAGTTGATGCAATGCTGACATTTTTTGGTAGGTAAATATAATTTTAGGACATTTAATATAAATTCTTAAAAAATGCTGGCTAAATAGAACATTTTTTTTCTTAAAAAATAGACTGGCTGTTCATTTTGGTCAGGATTTATCCCTAAAGTCCGGAGGAATGCAAAACCTTTCCCCCTTGCTATTTTTGGCAAAGGAATTAACACAAATCTGAACCAAACCAATGTTATTTCACCTAATTAGAAGGAATGCATTTCAGGTGGTGTGGTGCAAGCGACACTCTCCTTCAGATTTACATTACAAAGCAACAGCCCACTGTTCTTAGCTGGAGGTGATTTATGACTACTGCGATTTACCTTTGATGTCTCTGTGTACGATCATGTTGCTGTGCAAATAGTGGACTCCCTGTAGGATCTGTCGGGTATATCTGCGGGTCACTTTTTCAGTCAGTGCTCCATATGCCTTCAGCTGGTCTTTAATAGAGCCCTAGACACACATGGACACACAGATTAATCATACTGGACAGACAAGAGCAAAGAAGCCAGATACCATATTCGGCACATAAAGTGTAAGCATGTGTTTTATTCTTCAAAAGCAGAAAGAATTATAAAGGCTATGTATTTTTATTAGGAAACTTCAAGAACAAGCTGTCAGCATATGCGTTGACAGGAAACATAAAAACAGGATTCAAACCTGTTTACCAAAGAATACAGTGCAATGGAAATGGTTTGACCCCTTCCTGATATCCTGTTTTTTTGTTGTTGCAAAGGTTTTACTGTATTATTATTGCTAATACTGTATGCGGGGATGTAAACATGTATTATGTAACAAGTGCAAAGTATTAAAATTCGCTGTTTAACTAATATTTGTTGCTTTTTAAGAAGTGTGCTATTACTAGGGCTGGGTATCGATTCAGATGTCCTGATTCGATTCGATTCGATTCCGATTCGCAAGCTCTCGATTCGATTCTCGATTTTTTAAAATTACATTCAGTGAATATAGTTTTAATACAAATGCTATTGATATTTCAAAATAATTAACAGTAAACATCAGTTTACCAATAGTGAATTAATAAAAAGAAATTAAGAACCTACTATTGTTCCTTTTTAAACAATAGTAGGGCCCTATAAAATGTTCTTAATTTTTCTGGTAATCAGATGAAGGCATAAAACATTAATTTAATTTATAATCAAATGACAATTAAACCCTTTTATTTTTTTGGCAAACAAAGTGCTGCACAACAGAGGTTGCTGTGACAGACGCTTTCTGTCCGTGTGCTTCGGATGTGTGCGCTCAGAAAACGTATATCAGAAGTTTGAACTAATATAGTTTGAAACGCATGATTTCAGTGCGATAAACATGATAATCAGAACCAAAACAGATGTTTTTTTTAGCAGGTATGAGCTGTAATGGCGAAAAGGAGGCGGGGAGCATCAGCTCATTTGCATTTAAAGAGACATTGTAAAAAGGGGGATAATATGTCTCCTTTAACTAAAACTCAATGAAATAGTATCTCAATGATACTAAAATAACACTGATTTTAAGATAATGCATAAGATGCAACAGATCTCACCAAATATCTGCTTTGCGTCCGTAGCCTTCTCCATTAATGACTTCTGGGCTCATCCAGTAGGGGGTGCCGGTGACCGATTTGATTCCCGTCCCGGACATGCAGATGGTCTGAATGCGCTTGCTAGCCCCAAAATCTCCCAGCTTCACATTTCCAGAGGAGTCCCTCAAAATGTTAGCGCCTGTGCGGAAACACGTGTAGATTGAGTTACCCCGGCTGAGATGTTTGTCTGACCAATGTTGACAACTGCATACAATTCTAAGCTGCTTATGGCTGATGGCATTTGAAGTTTGAGACACAGTCTTTCTTCCCACGCTTCTAGTCGAAGTGATTTTCCATTGCTTTAGCTATGTTGCCTGTGAGATTTGTGCTTGTTTGAGTAGTGACTAATTCCCGCCAGCCACAAGATTTCCACACCCTGGATGTCTGACTGTATTGTGAATACGAGAGGAAGGACAGAGACTCCTTCCTTTGGAGCCCACATTTCTCGTGGATCTTTCCAATAGAGGATCTTCGGTTTGTTATGGGAATGACAGACTGTATTGGTCATGTGTGCAAAAAAGTATGTGGGCTTAAAAGTATTTGAACACACTTAAAATGTCTGAATGTAAATGTATTAGATGACAGTTTTGCAAACGTTATTTGCATGGAATGTTGCTGGAACGTTACTTGAATGTTTCTGAAATATCTTTACAATTACTTTAAATGAATCACACTAAGCATGTTCCACCAATTTTTCAAAATTTTTTGTACATTTTGAACACTACATCATCTATAATCATAACTGTAAAAATGATAAATTCTAAAAAAAAATATATATATATATATAAAAAACATTTCTATAGGGAAAATACATTTTATAGTAAATGAAGTTAACGTAACATCTACAGTGAAAAACTATTAAAAAAAATAACACTGCATTATATTTCATTTTACAGTAAAACACTTTATACCATATCAATTAAACAAATAAAAACAAGTAAAAGTTCCTGTGTGACACATCACATATTATTAGCTTTTATATAAGTAGTTTTGCTTCTATTTTAGTATTTATGTTATTATGGTGGGTATAAACTGTAATTTAATGTAAAAAGCAGATTTTGTTTTTTCTATGAATTTCTTGAAACCACAGCTGCCGTTTTTATCTGTAAATTTAACTAAATATTTTTGAATATTACATGCTAATAATATTTTTTAATATTTTATTTTTGAATATTATTATTTTTTTTAAATATTCAAATTTTTTTTGTGAAATGTTCTAAAGTGATTGTGCCATGTTTCATTAAAATAAATGTCACTTGGTTTGCGATTTTTATTTAATTTATGTAATGCAATGACATTCATTAAGAACATTTTTAAGTGTCCAGTTTTTGGGCCCACGTCTTCCTTAATAAACTGAGTGATTAAAGTGTGTCCATGTCTAGTAGAAGCAATGCTGACATTTTCTGTTAGGTAAATATGATTTTAGGACATTTAATATCAATGCTAAAAAATACCTAATGGACTGTTAATTTTGGTCAGAATTTAGCCCTGAAGTCTGGAGGAATGCAAAACCTTTCCCCCTCGCTATTTTTGGCCATACCTAAAGGAAGTAACACAAATCTGAGCCAGACCAATGTTATTTCACCTAGTAAGAAGGAATGTATTTCAGGTGGTGTGGTGCAAGCGACACTCTCCTTCAGATTTACATTACAAAGCAACAGCCCACTGTTCTTAGCTGGAGGTGATTTATGACTACTGCGATTTACCTTTGATGTCTCTGTGTACGATCATGTTGCTGTGCAAATAGTGGACTCCCTGTAGGATCTGTCGGGTATATCTGCGGGTCACTTTTTCAGTCAGTGCTCCATATGCCTTCAGCTGGTCTTTAATAGAGCCCTAGACACACATGGACACACAGATTAATCATACTGGACAGACAAGAGCAAAGAAGCCAGATACCATATTCGGCACATAAAGTGTAAGCATGTGTTTTATTCTTCAAAAGCAGAAAGAATTATAAAGGCTATGTATTTTTATTAGGAAACTTCAAGAACAAGCTGTCAGCATATGCGTTGACAGGAAACATAAAAACAGGATTCAAACCTGTTTACCAAAGAATACAGTGCAATGGAAATGGTTTGACCCCTTCCTGATATCCTGTTTTTTTGTTGTTGCAAAGGTTTTACTGTATTATTATTGCTAATACTGTATGCGGGGATGTAAACATGTATTATGTAACAAGTGCAAAGTATTAAAATTCGCTGTTTAACTAATATTTGTTGCTTTTTAAGAAGTGTGCTATTACTAGGGCTGGGTATCGATTCAGATGTCCTGATTCGATTCGATTCGATTCCGATTCGCAAGCTCTCGATTCGATTCTCGATTTTTTAAAATTACATTCAGTGAATATAGTTTTAATACAAATGCTATTGATATTTCAAAATAATTAACAGTAAACATCAGTTTACCAATAGTGAATTAATAAAAAGAAATTAAGAACCTACTATTGTTCCTTTTTAAACAATAGTAGGGCCCTATAAAATGTTCTTAATTTTTCTGGTAATCAGATGAAGGCATAAAACATTAATTTAATTTATAATCAAATGACAATTAAACCCTTTTATTTTTTTGGCAAACAAAGTGCTGCACAACAGAGGTTTACTGTTAAAATTAAAAATAAAACAGATGTGATTATTCCTTTAAAAATAAAGATTTATTAATATTTATTAGCAGTAGTAGCATTGAGCCTTCAGACTGCTAAATAGTAATATATTCTGACAGTAGAACGTTAAACTAAACTTTTATTTTGACGGGTTGCCGTGAAGAACTTGCAGCTGCTGTGTATGTGATATGACGGTAGTTTTCTCAAATGAAACGGTAAAATGCTAATGAAGTGACTCTCAGAGCAGCTGGAGATGACATTCGTGTTCATATCATCATATAGTGAGAC